ATCGTTTTCTTCAGATTGTATTCCCCCTCTTAATATTCTTTGTAGTGCAGGCTTATTTCTTAAGAAATCATTTAGGTTTTTTTTTTTTTTGGGGGGTCAGTCCTGGGGCCTGAACTCCAGGCTAGCGCTCTACCACTTGAGCCACAGCGCCACTTCCAGCAAGCACTCTACCACTGAGCCACCTTCCCAGCCCCCTTTTGGCATATTTTAAGTTGTTTTTTTTCTATATCTGACTTTTATTTCCAGTTGCTACATTTTGTCTTTGGTACCTGATATTCTATTTTCTGTTTCATTCACTCTGTTAACTATGGTTTGCATGGAGGAAATTGAACCATTTATGATTTCTATGTCGGTTCTCAAAGTTTTAATTTTGTTTTGGGGGGGGGGGGCGGGGGTCGGTCATTGGGCCTGAACTCTGGGCCTGGGCACTATCCCTCAGCTCTTCGGCTCAAGGCCGAAGTGGCGCTACAGCGCCACTTCCGGTTTTCTAGTGGTTATTGGAGATAAGAGTCTCACAGACTTTACTGCCTGGGCTGGCTTTGAACTGTGATCCTCAGATCTCAGCCTCCTGAGTAGCTAGGATTACAGGCGTGAGCCACCGGTGCCCAGCTAATTTTGTCTTTTAATGAGATGTGTACTGCACTTTTGTGTGTGTGGCCTAGGGCACTGTCTCTGAGCTCTTCAGCTCAAGGCTACCACTCTACCACTTGGGCCACAGAGCTACTGCTGGCTTTTCTGTTTATATGGTGCTTGAAGAATGGAACCTGGGCTTCATGCATGCAAGACAAGCACTCTACCACTGAGCCACCTTCCTAGTCCCTGCACCTGTGTTTGTATCTGTATTTCTCTGGTTATTTGCCTTTTTGCTTGGGGAAATGGAGCATTGGAACTTGAACTCTCTATTTGGTTGGAGAGAGCTATGGTGTTTACCTACTGTTCTGTCTCCATCTTGGGTCTGTCCTAACCTAAGTTCTTACTCACATAAAGCCCATCCCTCCATCCATAGACAGTTCTAGGACTTGAACCAAAGCTTTTTGCATTTGGTAGTACTATATACTTGAGCCAGGCCTTCAGTCTACTTCAGTCTGTTTTGTTTAGTGACATTTAGGTTTAATGTGTGAAGGTAAGTGAAATTATAAGACTGAATCTAACAAATGGGTTTTATGTTTTGGCATTTTTCTGAAATGGGGAGTTTAAGAATTTTATATAGTTGTAAGCATTAAATGTTTAACCATTTTACACTGAAGGTTGATTTTTGGAGCCAGCTTAACATTGTCAAATTTCTTCAGGTTTTTAGGCCACCAAACCCCTGGACAATGGCCATTATGAATGTATTGGCAGAGCTACACCAGGAACATGACTTAAAGGTAAATGTAATGCTGTTTCATCCTTTGGAACAATCTCTGCCTTTATGTTACTGAAATTTACAGTAAAGGCAGACTATTTGGAGTTATTAGCTAGATTGAGAGTAGAGTATGCTGTTAGTAAAACTAAACTTTTCATTCTAAAGTTCTAATTAAAATACTGGCCTTAATGCAGTTAAACTTGAAGTTTGAAATTGAGGTGCTCTGCAAGAACCTTGCATTAGACATCAATGAGCTGAAACCTGGAAACCTATTAAAAGATAAAGATCGCCTGAAAAATTTAGATGAGCAACTCTCTGCTCCAAAGAAAGATGTCAAGCAGCCAGAAGAACTCCCTCCAATCACAACAACAAGTAAGGGTGACAATCAGTTTTTTTAACCAGAGTGTTTTCTTAAATAGTATATCCCAATGTATATAGCAAATTATAATTACTACAATAGTGTGTTGGCATGTTATGTACATTTTTGTAAGCCTTCTGAATTAAGAAAAAGTTATTTCTACATATAGTCTGACCTTACTACATTTCATCCTAGAAATCTATGCTAAAATTGTAGCTAAATGTAACTTAATTGTTCTATGAGCCTTTACCTAGTCTATCTCTTCTCTTGAAGTTTTATAAATATTTGCATGGCAAGATAGACTGCTTTGTCCCTCAGAACCACGGTTTACCAGATGGCACATACGTACCAGATACAAGTACTGGCAGAACATTATTTATCTTCATTAAAAATAGCATCATTGGCCAAGCGCCAGTGGTTCACACCTGTAATCCTAGCTACTCACATGGGTGAGATCTGAGGATCATGATTGGAAGCCATCCTGGACAGAAAAGTTCCTATGAAACTCTTACATTCAGTTAGCTACTCAGAAAAACAAACCAAAAAAAAAAGGGAAGGGAAATTGTGGCTCAGAGTGATAGAGAGCTAGCTACCTTGAGCAAAAAAGCTCAGAGGCAACGCCTAGGCCCCAGTTTAATCCCACCACCACCAACAAAGAAAAGAGAGAATAGGACTGTTGTGACTGGACACCGGACACCAAGATGTTGATTGGTGTGAAATTTGGGGTAGAATAAACCAGCCTGTTTTCTTCTGCAGCTAGGAATCTTTAGCTAAACCTAAGAAGAGACTAGGTGGAAGTAGACCCCTGTAGTACAAACCAAACTGATAAAGCTTGGGTCACCTAATGTAGTTTGGCCCTTCAATTGATTTCTGTGCTATGAGGCACTACCACTAACAAAGGGGTACATACTTTGTTCACATCTTTTTTTTGGGGGGGGGTCCGGTCATGGGCCTGCACTCTGTCCCTCAGCTCTTCAGCTCAAGGCTTGCGCTCTACCACTTGAGCCATAGCACCACTTGCGGCTTTTTTTCCCCCTTCTGCTTAATGTGGTGCTGAGGAATCGAACCCAGGGCCTCATGCATGCAAGGCAAGCACTCTACCACTAAGCCACCTTTCCAGCCCATTCCATCTTAAATAGAATAACAGAATTTACTTTTTTCCCCCTTTGGTGTCAGTAATGGAACTTGAACTCAGGGTATGGGGTACTATCTCTGAGCTTTTTCACTCAAGGCTGGTACTCTGCCATTAGCCACAGCTTCACTTCTGGCTTCTTGGTACATTATTGGACGTAAGTCTCTAGCTTTAAACCATGATTCTTAGATGTCAGCCTCTTACGTAGCTAGGATTTATAGATGTGAGCCACCAGTGCCCCACCAGAATTTTTTTCAGAATGAGAAAGGTGAGACCTAAGTGTCACTTGGTAAGACATAAATCGGTTTGTTTCATTAGATAACCAGACTTAGATGAGAGGTTAATATCTTTTATTATAAAAATAAACAAATATGCTCTTTTTAACCTTTACATTTAGCAACTTCTACAACACCAGCTACCAGCACTACTTGTACAGCCACAGTTCCACCACAGCCACAGTACAGCTACCATGACATCAATGTCTATTCCCTTGCAGGGCTGGCACCACACATTACTCTAAACCCAACAGTAAGTAAACACTATTCCATCCTCCCTATTAATTACTAGTTTGTGACAAAGTTAACTATTTGGTCACCTTCCCTTCCTCTTCCTTCTATTCTCTGCATTACTGTTAACAAGTTAGATCTGTAAAGGCTATGTAGTATAGTTGGAATTTTTTTTCCTTGCTCTTAGAATTGGTGTAAATAAATAATGCTATTCTTATCCCAACTCATGGTAATTAAGTCATGGTAAGAAAATCACAATCTTGGGCTGGGAAAGTGGCTCAGTGGTAGAGCGCTTGCCTTGCATGC